TATCTGATTTTGATGATTAAACGTTACGAAAAACCACATCCAAACACTTCAAGATGGTGTTTAGTTGAATCTTTTGAAAGTGATTTCAAATTGTAACAATTGGTTCCTCGGGTTAAAAATAGTAAATTACACTTTTGGTCCTTATACTTATTACTTACTATCAAGTCTCGTCCGTATTTTGAAATAACTGCATTTTTGGTCATCATGATTGTGATTTGTTACACTTTTGGTTCCTCCAACTAACCCTCCCCCTTCTTCTTCTTCAAAGGTTGTTCCAAACTGGTGATCACATAAGAAGCAAAACCAAGATTTGTTTACGGGTGTTGGGAAACACCTTCGTTAGTTGGCCATTTCTCGTCAATTAWTCTAGTTACRTTTGTTTCCGTTTCCTCCTTTACATTTGTCCGAGTCTTAAAGTTATTGGATTAATCTGTTCCAAACTAAATGGTTATTTTTTCCCCACAAAAGTAAATAGTAAATTTCATCAAAATTTGGTCTCTTGGTTGCTTAGGACAAACGGGGATGTGCTAGGCACTACACATACCACTATTTAAAACAAGAAGTGCAGTCGGACTTGCAACTACAACCAACCAACCAACACTCATATAACTCATACGTGTATTAGAARTTTTGTTGCCTGTTAGGATTTCCGAGAGCGCCACATATGAGTTGTATAACATTCAGTTGGATGCGGTTGCAACTCCTATTAARCTTGTCCTTTAAATACTAGTATGTGAAATGCCTAGATGATCCCATTTGTTCCAAGTAACAAGAGACCATATCTAGATGAAATTTAATCCTTGATGCAACAAATATGGAGATGTTTTGTTTCATGATATTTTTGGTGTGAGGAGTAGAGATGTTTCGTGAAGACCCCGACTTGTAAAAAGATTTTAAGAGAACCCCGTTATGTAATATAGTTCAACCGATGGTCAACCCAAGCCAGATTGTGGTTGGAGAGAACCAAATGGCATTAGGCATAACYGTGATCAGGGTTTTCAAGAAAACATCCACTCTACTTTTTTTAAAGCAAGTAATATTTATATTCAACAAATAAAATCACACATCCTCATCACCTTTGGTGAGGCTTGAACTCCTGACCTCGTGRGAGGTCAAAAGCTGCATTACTTTTTTGGRTAGAGGTCAGATCTGCRTACATCTTACTTTCACCGGACCCCACCTCCAGTAGTATGTTTTCAAAAGAACTRCAAAGTGGATCCAAGGAAATTACATTTAGGATGCTTTCTATCAACTTACATGACTAAATAAATACATACATAAAAGTTGTCTGCAAAACCAAGTTGAAATAAACCCAAAAAGGGCAAAAAAAAAAAAATAGTAACATACACCAGCCATCAGAGACTCCAGTTATCCAAACAAAGCAAGAATGTTGAATGCTTCACCATTCTCTGCCAAGCAAAAAAACCATTTGGGWTCAAAGGCTTAAAAGTCGAAAATTGGACCTGTGTCTATGAAAGCGGAATCAGGTAACTCATTCAACCCAAATGGTCCAGGAATGTCCATGAACCCTGGTTCAACAGGCTGGTTATCGAAAATCCAATCATACCGATAGTCCGCTAAGCTACCACCAGAAACCGCCACCAGTGATGGCTCACTCGTTGCCRCTGCACCACCTTCAAATGTGGCAGATTGTTCGGTTGGAGGCCAACTTAATCCATAATCTTGAAAACTTGAATCTATTGTAGGACTTTGAGCTTGATTTCCTTGAAAATTCTGAGTATAATCCGAAACAGGAATTGACGGGCTATGTACTTGAGTTTGGGWAGGAACCGGATAATTTGCTTGAGCGGGCACCATATATCTAGGCTGACCGGATGCCAGTTGGGTTTGGGAAGACGATGGAACCAGATGGGGTTGTTGGTAAAGTGGGGTTTCCAGGAAAGGGTTGGAATTTACTTGAGATTGAAAACCTGGATTCGGGSGATTGGAGAATTGAGGTTGGGGAGGCAATGGTTGATCAAGTAGGGGGGTTATAGTTGATGCATGATTTTGACTTTGAGGATATGAAACAGAAGGGTTGACTGCATTTGGTTGTAAAGATCCTAAATACTTATTTGGCCCTGAAACCATTCCATTGACATTGTAGTTTTGATTCCCATTGGGATTTCCGAAATTGCCACTGTATGAGCCGTATGAGGGTGATCGGTTGGCTGTGGTCACAACCCCAACTGAACCATTTCTTTTAAATACTTGTCTGTGAAGCTGAGAGCCTAGGTTATTATGGTTCTGGTGGCCCCTAGCCCCAYTTGTTCTAAGCAACAGTTGAGAGGCCAAATCTGGACGGAACTTGTTTCGTGATGCAAATATGGGGGTTCGGTTTTGGTTGATGATATTTGGGGGTTGAAAGTTTCCCAATGTGTGGTGTGGAAGGATGGATCTGGGTCTCAGAATCTGATTATGGGGTTGAGCTAGAGTCGGTACTGGCCTGTGAAAGTCCACTTTAGGAACTGATTGTACGCCTTTACTACCATTCTTGGCGTTTTTCCTCTCGAGTTTCCATGTCTCATCTTTATCAGTGGCACCACAATGGTCCGTACTTGCACTGCCATTGCCCCAATAGACACATGGAGCAAGTGAGTCACAAACATAACAGTAGCACTGAAATTGAAAGAAAATAGTAGAGATATCAAAAGGGCGTGATGCTAGTAGTGGTATAACGTTCGTTACTGGTTAAAAGAGACCAGATAGATGAATCTTGAAATAACCTGTTCACAGTGGCTTTGATTTGGAGTAGCGGAAAATGGGAATTTGATACAAAGGTGCCTTGGATGGGGATAATCACGACAAGCAACCTGCAACAAAGTGAAAGAGTAAGAAATGAAGATAACAAAAGCATCTTGGATTACAGGTAATGATTTACTTCTTTTTATTCTGTAAATCACTTGTTCATGTAGAAAATAGAAATCTTTGTGACAAAATCACAAGTTTGCATACATTTACATGTCTGGCAAGCATATATTATCTTTGAGAGCTCGTATACAGAAAGGACAACAATCTTTTCCACCAAAGATGTGATGCTTTTGGTGATTCTTGTCTATATACCTTGGACTCTTCGTCACTATTTCCCACTTTCACACACTTTTCACAAGTCGAGGAGATCTTTATAGAAACAGCCGCTCTACTCTTTTGAGCAGAGGTCAAGTCGGCGTACGTCTTACCCTTCCCAGACCCCAYCTCGGAGTGGGACATACTGGGCTTGTTTTGTTTGATTTGGTTTTTACTCTTCATCACCATAATAGAACAAACCCTCCAACCCAACCTTAAACCCACAAATAAAATGAAGCATTCGATTTGCAAAACTTGGATGTTATAGTGCACTCAAATCTTCATWTAAGCATGCAGATAAGGTCGCAAGAATGTGCAGCTTCACTCATTCAWCAAAAAGCCTACTAAATTATTATATGCACCAATAACTAGTTAACTACTTACACATAATACCCATGGTAAACAGCCAAGAACTCGTCTTTTACTACTTGTAAATTTGCATCCACCCAGAGTTGTAAATTCTGCAATTTAAGACTTCCCCGGGCTGGGAAAAAGGGGAACGTATAAAATTGTGAACATTGGATGGTTTAAAACCTAAAAGACAAGAATCAAGAACAGGATTAGAGATTCTTCTTTGTTCCTTATATAGATTCATTCTTCTTTTCTACAGTATAATCATCTCATATGCAATCTTTCACTAGCATACAAACTAACAGCAAAACAAATTAATGCTATGTGGACTACTATTTCTGATGTCAAAGGCTAAATACCGTTGGTCATTTTAGTGATATCATCGATTCATTTGAGTAATTGGGTTCACAAGAGAAAACACTCATGTAAGCTGACTAGAAGCCAGGATCAATGGTGCTATCTGCCAAATTCTTGTACTAAAAAATTGAGATCATGGTTAATTTAGTGACACCGGGCAGATTTGGGTCGAAATATAACTTAAGGAAAGCCGATTTAAGTTTTTATCCAAGCTATATACTCACTGTTTCTCTATATTTTTCGAAATTCCTCCAAGAAATATTTCCATTTCTAAACAGCTTCAAAACCGCAAGTTATAACAAGCAATTAAATACTCATTATCTGACATGAATGGAAATTTCAAAACTATAATCCTGCAAAACTTGTTTAATAATTCAAAAACTATATAAATGATTTCAGAATTATCCATATAGAAGTATTCTAACCTGCCCTTTTTCGCTAACAACAAGTATATCATCGGAATCATCATTGATGTTACTCCGGTCATCATTCCGTACTTCCACCGGTTTATCGGGGTCATCATCAAGAACAACACAATCATCATCCAAGTCAATTAAACACGACTTCAATTTTGATTTCTTCCCAGTTTTCTCAGATGGAGAAACAGAAACCTCACTCACCAACACTACTTCATCGGAATCATCACCGTATTTTTCCTTGTTTACCTCATCAAGAAGCTCTGATAACCAATTATGATCGTCACCGCCGTCAGCAAATCCACTTCCRTCATGATCATTCCAACCAGCATCTTCATCTGAGCTTATTTCCAGTACCACGGTGTTCGGATCCATCGCAACTTTTCATTAAAAACTCTGAGAAAATCCTCTAAACAACTTCAAATTCACGGAACACACAAAAACAGGAGCGTTTATTTGAGAGGGTTTCGATAGTTTCGATCAAATTCAATAAGAGAAACGGATTGATATTAGAAATTGAAATGTGTAATGCGATAAAATAAGCCCCAAAATTGAAGAAAAAAACCCTAGTTGTGTTCGAAGAGTTGGACTTTCGGTGCTACAAAACCTGTGGGTCGTTGAGTCGTCAACTCGTGTGACTGAGTTGGAGAATGGTCTGACGCGGTCAGGGTATAATCGTCAATTGTTATTTGCTAATACAAAAATATTTKGGCTGCTAAACAACCAATCGGCCCATTTGATAAAATAAGGCCCAATTAAAAATATTTCGTTCTAAAATTATTATTATATTTAATCTATACTATATTATAAA